GACAGCCATTCTAGCACAATTCGGGACACAGACACACTCTGTTAGTTTAAAACAAGACTATAGACAGGTCTTTTTGAATTAGTATACACATAAAACACAAACATATAACTTTTCAAATCCTCTAAAGAATTGTTAAGTTCAATTAATTAAGGCAACTAGAGCAGAGAACACTTTGTAAAAAGAAATAATGTGAATGCCATCTACACTTATATTAGTCTGTTTGTGTTTATCCTGATGAAATTGTTTTAACTGGTCATGAATTTTTAAATTTAAATAGTTTTTGTCTTGCGTTTACAATAATTTTACATTTGAATAGCCAAAATTACAAGTTTCAGTATTTTAAATGCGATTGATCGCGATAATTTTTTAAAAAAGGTGCGATTAATTAGTTAATTTTTTTTAATCGATTGACAGCACTAATATATATATAGGCAAGGCAAGTTTATTTAAATAGCACATTTTATACACAGTGACAATTCACAATTCAAAGTGCTTTACATAAACAAGAATAAAAAGAGAAGTATAAGAAACAAAAACAATAAAATGATTAAAAACATTAAAATATGTTAAGGCAGGTTATAAAAGAATCAAAAAAAGAAAAAAAAAGACATAATGGTGCGATCTGTCAGACGTAGCACAGTGCTCATTCAGTAAAGGCACAGCTAAACAAACGTGTTTTCAGTCTTGATTTGAATGTGCCTAATGTTGGAGCACAACTGATCATTTTTGAAAGCTGATTCCAGCAGCGAGGGGCATAGTAGCTAAAAGCCGATTTACCCTGCTTTGACTAAACTTTATTTTAAACTTATTTTATCCTAAATATCGGAGTGATCTATTAGGTTTGTATTCAGTGAGCATATCTGTTATGCATTGAGCTCCTAGGCCATTTAGTGATTTATAGACCAGTAATAATACTTTAAAATCTATTCTGAATGTAAATGGGAGCCAGAGTAGAGACCTGAGGACAGGTGTGATGTGCTCTGATTTTATAATTCTGGTGAGAATCCTGGCTGCAGCATTCTGGATGAGCTGCAACTGTCTGTCTTTTAGGGAAGGCCAGTGAGGAGGCCATTACAGTAATCCACCCTGCTGCAGTTTCTCTAAGTCCTCACTGGAAACAAAGCATCTGATTCTTGCAATGTTTTTGAGAAGATAGTATGCTGATTTACTGACTGCTTTGACATGACTATTGAAATTTTGATCTGAATCTAGAGTCACACCTCATCTCTGTTCCCAAACGCAATGACTTTGGTTTTCTCTTTGATTAACTGAACAAAGTTTTGGCACATTCAAATCATCAATGCATTGGCAGAGGGTGTCAATTAGGCAGTAAGGCTAAGTAGATCTGAATGTAATCAGCATAGTTGTGGCAGGAAATTTGGTTCTGTCTCATTATTTGGCTCAGAGGAAGCATATAAAAGTTAAATAGCAGAGGTGCCAGAATCGAGCCTTGTGGGACTCCGCATGTCATAGGTGTCCACCTTGACCTATGGTCACCGATATTGACATAGTAACCTTTCCCTTCAAGGTATGATCTAAACCATTTGAGGACCGTGCCCTACAGCCCAACCCAGTTTTCCCACCTATCCAGAAGTATGCTGTGATCGACAGTGTCAAATGCAGCACTGAGATCGGGCAATACCAGCACTGTTAGTTTGCCTGGAATCTGTATTTAGGCAGATATCATTGATTATCTTTATAAGAGCGCTCTCCATACTGTAAGGTGATCAAAAACCAAATTTAAAATTGTCTAAACACTCCTTGAAATTTAGGAACTTGTTAACCTGCTTAAAAGCAACTTTTTCAATGATTTTGCTAATAAAATGGAGATTTGAGATTGGCCTGTAATTGCTCATTAGGGTGTTATCAAGGTTGCTCTTCTTCAAGAGGGGTTTAACAACTGCAGTTTTAAGTGAGTTTGAAAAAATCCCAGTGAGAAGTGAAGCATTGACCACTTTTAGAAGATCAATTTCTAAACAGTTAAACAGTTTTAAAGAATGAAGTGGGGAGTGTGTCAAGACTGCAGACTAATGTTTTCATAATTTGCACAATCTTTTCTAAGATTTTAATATTTATTGCCATGAAATCAGACATAATGTCTGATTTCTTAAGTTGTGGTTGAGCTTTTCTGACGTCGACATAACTTGTTGGGTTGTGAGTCTCTCTACTGTTGAAAAGAAAGTCTGCCTTGCAGTGTTTAGTTCCACATTAAAAGCATGAAGACAGTCTTTATAGATATTATAATGGACTACTAGTTTTGTCTTCCTCCACATACGCTCAGCTTTACTGCACTGTTTTCATCTTTTGAATTGCTGTCAAGTTTCTCCAAGGGGCTCTCTTTTTGCCAGTTCTCTTCCTGACATTAACAAGAGCAATGTCATCTATGACGTTATTAACTTTAGAGTTAAATGAATCAAAGTGAGAATCAACAGTCTGCAGATATACTTGGTGCTAGCGATATGGCCTTCATAAACTGCTTATTAGTGTTCTCATTTATGCATCTCTTTCTGACAGAGACAGATCTGTCTTTATTAGCTGGAGTGATCAATTTATCAAAGAAAATAGAGAAATAATCAGTCATGAGTTCTTTTGTAGCATTAATTTATGTGAATTTTAAAATCCCCATCAATAGTAAATTAGTCAAATTCAGATGTTACTACTGATAACAGCTCTGTAAAATTGTCGGGGTTTTTTGTTACTTCTCTGTCTCTGTATTGTCATTTGTATGCAGTTTCACCTGTTATCAATTCGCTTGTTTCCCCGTCCCCATTGCTCTCACCTGTTCTCCCTGATTATTTTAGCTATTTAGTCTCCCCTTCTCCCTCGTTCTGTGCTTGTTAATTGATTCTGTGTTCTAAGAGCTACGTGTGCAACTGGTTCTCTCTGTTTAAGATATCTACAGATTTACTATCCGTCTCGCCTAGTTCTGTGTTGTTTAGTCTACCACTTATCATCCGTTTACCTGTGCTCTGGCTCACCTCTGCTCTGCCCACAGTCCACGATCGGGTGAGGTCTCATCTTCTCGGGCTCCCTGAGGTCTGTCCCTACTGCTAAACCAAGAGGGTCTTTTGAGTTTGATCAGTCCTACAACGCCCAGAGGAGGGTTGATTTCTGACTGCCTGTGATATTTTGGAGTGACTGTTTTCTTACTGCCAAGAAGAGCAGAATTGTTGATTTTTATTTCTGTTCAATAAATCCTTTGAACTTCTCCCTTGCACTCGGGTCTCCATATTTCCTGACAAAAATCATCAATAAAAGTTGGAGAATAATTTGGAGGTCTTTAGATAATGATCAGTAAGATGTGTGGAGCACCTTTCAGTGCTATACTTAGATATTCAAATGACACTTGTTTACTCTCATAAACCTCTTTAAACAGGGCAGTGATACCTCCATCTCTCTTATTAGCTCTGCAAACACTCAAAAAAATTTAAGTTAAAAGGAGCTGTTTCGTTCAGAACTGCTGCGCTACAACTGTAATTTAGCCAAGTTTCATTTAAAAGCATAAAATCAAGGCAATTTGTGTTGATAAAATCATTGACTAAAAGTGACTTATTGTTGAGTGATCGGATGTTTAAAAGTGCTAACTTAACAGTTTTAGCTGTTTTCCCTACAGTAGTCTCAGATTTACATTTAATAGACACTAGATTAGAATGATTTGCTATACGGCCTGAAGAAATCTTTGGTTTTCTGTCACGTAATAAGACGCATATCTGTGTAGAGAAAGCAACAGACACAGGGTTCCTGCTTGTTCTGTAAACATCTGATAAAGACACTGTTATTTAAGCAGGCACCTGAGACACATCAATGACAGTTTTTAAGTTCACCAGCTGAAGATGAGGTGTTTTTTGAGACCTGGCACTGTCACAAAGACCTAAAGGCCTCCTAGGTGTAGGGCGAGGTGGGTTCAGAGATGGGTGTGAGGCTTGCTGATTTTTGGTTGCTAACTGGGGGCTAGCAGCAATGGAGCGTGAGAGTTTAGTTCCAGCAAACACTAGTTCCTCCATCTTTTTAAAAAAAAAAATCCAAGTGAGGCGAGCAAGGTGACAATGAGAAAGTGTCTGGTGAGAGAGGCTGTGGGTCTGGGGTTTGTGGCTGCTGAGATATGTTTACCTGGCTGTTTTCCTGGAGATCATCCATGAGTGCTGAGACTTGATGCTGTTCTGATGCATCACAGTCTGCCTGTGTTGAGCTCAGTGTGCAGGGCGCAAATGGCAGTTTGTCCGTTATCAGTGATTGTTGTGGCTGCGTGGTGTTATCTTTGTCCTTGTAGGATGCGTCAGCCACAAGTCCACAAAGAAGCTGATTTGAAGTCCTGTGGTCATTCAGACATTTGCTAGGTGTGTGTGTGTGTGTGCGTGGGCCATTCAGTTCAGTGGCAAACACAGCTGATAGATGGAGGGAAAAATTGATTTTGTCTTTTAGCACTTTTGTACCAAGCTTGTTTGGATGAAGGCTGTCTGATGTAAACAGTTGTCTTTGGTTCCAGAAGAGACTGACATTGTCGATGAAATTCAGTCCTTTCATGTCACGTGTTTTTTTGCAGCTATGCATTTAGACCAAGGAGCCTTGAAAACATATTTGTCCCTCTTGCAGGGAGTGGTCCACTGATGAACGGCTGAATCTTCAATCTTTCAACTGTTTCCAATAACTCACAGAAATCTCTCTTGAGCAGTTCTGACTGCTCCTTTTGAATATCATTCTTCCCCACATGGATGATAATCCGTTTTGCAGTCTCATGTTTCCTAAATGTGTTCTCAAGTTCTTTGTGTTTAACAGAAACTTTTGCATGAGGGAAGCAGTATGTCATGGTAGCTTTGCTCTTAAAATTTTTGATTATTAAATCTGAAACAATCAATGTTCCTATCTCGGCTGCGATTGGAGCAGAATACTGCTGTCTACCCTGCTGAAAAATCCAGCTTAAACCAGCCTAGGCTATTATAATGATAATGGTCATGGTTTTTTACAACATAAATAAACATAACAGCAAATGTAATACTCACAAAATATAAAGGATGACTCCCACAGACCACATGTCAACCTCAGGACCATAAGCATTTCCTCTGAGAATTTCAGGAGCTAAGTAGGTATAAAAAGAGGTAAACTATTGCAAAAGACCAGACCAAACAATATTTATTGAAATGTGCACGATTGTGGACTAAAGCTTTTTTTTTTTTCTTTATAATCTTAAAAGATATGTATGAAAACTAGAATATTCATATTTAGTTGCTTAAACCATCTTTAAAAATATTGACTTGTCTTAAATTCACACTCACCACAGTAGCCGGGAGTTCCACATACAGTCTTCATTGTCACTTGCTCATCAATTATTTTGGAAAGGCCAAAGTCAGCTGTAAACATAAAAACACAAAACATAGTTATTACTAAATCAGTTGTCTGCTCAATCTTTTTTCTTATATAAACAATTTAACTCATTAAATGTTAAGTATGGAGGTTGTTACCTATCTTAAGTGGTGCATCTATTGACAAATCAGCATAGAGAAGATTTTCTGGTTTGAGGTCTCTGTGAACAACTCCATTCTCATGCAAGTACTACAACAAAGAAAGAAACAAGGATTCAGCAGTGGTAAAAAAAAAATTAAAAAAAAGCAAAAAATAAAAAATAAATAATAAATAAAAAACGGGTACTAAACAATTATACCTAAGCATAATTAAGATCCAAAAAATGTAGTGCTGGTAGAATAAAAGTTTATGATGTAAATACTAAAAGTATGTTTTAAAATTAACCCTTTTAAATCAAGACTACTCAGGAATAGTGGGTAGTGAGTACTACACTGATAATTATTCCATCCTTTTAAACAGCTGTCTGGAATACTTTATTGGTCAGTTACACATTCCAATGTTATTCTGAGATAACCTTAAAATAACAGAGGCTCATTCAGGAACTTTGAATCAACTTGAGCATCAGTAAATGTACTTATTTCCACATTCATATGTATTTGCTTATCTGTCACACTGTGGTTTTTGACTTTCTGGTGTCATTTCATGTATGAATAGTATGTAGGAAAGGTAATGCTTTATTCACACACCTTAAAGGGCCCTTATGATGAAAATCATCTTTTGAAAGCTGTTTGGACAGAACTGTGTGTAGATATAATGTGTCCACATTTATATCGGAGTGATATAAACACAATAATACTCTTTTAAAAAAAAATTCTGAAGTAAAAAACATGACCCAAATCCATCCTATTTAAGGCTCACTGCAACTTGAAATAGAAGTGCAGTTTCCCTGCCCACTGAATTGATTGACAGCCACATATTAACAAGTTTCCACAGTAACATGTACAACCACATCCACAAGACGGGACATGTGCAAAGCAACCGGGATTAAAAGATCTCATCTTTCTGTGATCAGCAGCAGTATAAGTTTTCAAGTTTAAAACATTTTTAAAACAGTGCATGTTTGTAATAAAGACAGTAAATTGGCTTTGTAATTCGTCACCACAGCCGCATAGTGTCAGTACAATTATAAAAGAAGATGTTTCAATCCCATTCTGTGGACTTAAATTGAGTTTATTTTGTACATTAACATAACAGATATCCACACAGCAATGTATATTAACATGTATTCTGTCACATCTGCCTTGCAAAAACAGTGCAAAGCTAAATGTGTATGTGCCAACTTTATAACGACATTGTGTGTGGCTCATCTTTGCGGAAAGGCTTGAATTAACTCTACAACATATACATCAAATAACTGTTGGGAAAGTTCTTACTGTAGTAAGGGAGAGCTGCTTCATTCTTGTCTGTCACTGTGCTGTTTATGCATGAGATGCAGCAGGAGAAGGCTACACCCATCAGTGAAATAGTGAGCAATCTCTATGACTCTGACACATACATGGGAATGGTGGGGGTGAGAACCAGCTCATTAAAGACAGGCAACAAAACCAGCATAGTAGCATCTCAAATTTCCAATATAAAGAAGGGATAATAAATGATCTGATATGAAGTTTGAGCTGAAACTTTACTAACACATTCTGGAGACACAAAAAAACTAAAAAATCTTTAAGTTAAAAAACTTAAATCTTAAAAAAGTGGTGAAAAAGGTGCCCTTTAAGAGAGTAGTGACCGAAATCTCAATATTAATATTAATACAAAAGTTAATTTCAATATTTAAGTCAAACCAAAGAAGTTATTTTGTGCCCTACATGAGACAAAAATATCAATATTAATATCAATACCAAAATATAGATGTTAATATTTGTAATAAATTCAAAATATTTTGAAAATAATAACAGCAGCTACTTAACACTACCCTAGATAGTCATGCAGTGTGAAAACAACAGTGACCTGAAAATCATGCAGTGTAAACTGCCTTATTCTTTTGTATAATGTAATTAAGCATTTTAAATGTTTAAAAATAATCTTTAATTCAATGGACAGTGAATTTACTTACTGAATTTTATTTACCTACCAAAAACACAAAGCATACAAAATTACTTAATTTTATTTTTCATTTTTTTGTATTAAACATTATGTACAGCTCTGGGGTAAAGAAGTTCTTAGAAGATAATATTCATTCGATTAATTTCCTTTGACTTTGTCCCTGATTTATCAGTGGAATGAACTGCCAACTTCCCTGATATATGTTTTACCCAGCAGATGCCCTTACAACCAAAACCCAGCACTATGCTGGGAAACACCCACACACTCTCTCATTCACACTCCTTCACTATGGCCAATTTAGTTTATTCACTTATAGTCTTTAGACCAGAGCACCCGGAGGAAACCCATCCAAACACAGAGAGAACACGCAAATTCCATGCAGAATTGTCAACTAGTCAGCGCCAGTGGTGTAGTGGTTAGAGCGTCGTCACATGCACTCCGGTGATCGCGGCGACCCGAGTTCGATACCACCTTGCAGTCCTATGCCAATCCTTCCCATCTCTCTGCTCCCTATGCTTTCCTGTCAGTTCTCAACTGTCCTATCAAATAAAAGGTGAAAACCCCTAAAAAAAATTAAAATAAAATAAAAAATTGTCAACTGGCCCAGCTGGGACTCAAACCTACAACCTTTTTGCTGTGTGGCGACAGTGCTAACAACTGACCCACCGTGCCACCCATAGTTGCAGCGTATATCTATAATAAAGTTTTTACAAAAAAAAACTGCAAGTTCTGAAAGAGAGCAAGCCAGGTAAGGAAAAAGTAGGGCAAATGTAACTCGATTAGTAATAATAGTAAATATTATTAAGCATGACTTTCCATAAAAAAGTATTAATTACTTTTAAGTATTAGTTACTTTTTTTGGGACGAAAATTAATGTTGTAGTGCATTACTTTCAAAGGTACATTTTCCCAATACTGGTTATCTTTGACAAATATTTAAATTAGTTTGATGATCTGAAGCATTAAAAGTTTGACAAACATAAAACAAATAAGAAATCAGGAGGGGCAAACACTTTTTCACACCACTGAAAATATATGACAACCTGGAATAAACAGATTTAATCCACACACACAAACGTTGCACACACGTAAAGCAGTGCATGCATGTGGCCTCCATGTTGTTGTTTTTTTTTCATTTTTAGATCAAGATGTTATGTAACATCAGCCCACATTCATACTGCTCAGAGAGATTACTTTTTTTCTGAGAAGATTATTTTTTCACGAGCAGCTCTGCACATACCGCTTCTCAACCATTCATTTTGAAGTGACGACATAACTCAGCCAACCCCATTAATGTCAGCCTATCCATGGACATGTGTTCAGCCACGCCAGCACATACACAATAATCCTCTGGTTGAGAATCTACGTTTAAACTATTGCAGTCCCCCAAGATTCATTACACTTTGCAAATTATAAACAGTTTTAATTATTATTTTTTTAAAGTGTAATGTTATTCCAATATTTATTCAACATTTTCTATCTTTAAAGCAATAAAACAAAATTATAACAAGTTATATAAACAAAATTAAACATACAACAACATTTTTACTTAACATTTAGCACCTTTTTGCAAAACAAGTTGTAAAAAATTTATTTATGGAACAGTCTGCAAAATCAACTTTGTTTAAAAAGCTCATTCACTATGACATTTCTTTGAAAAATGATTATTAACAACCATGTGCTGTTACTTGAAATTCTGAAAAAAAAAAATTATACTATACTTAATAATTCATCATTACTTTAATTATAATTAAATTAAAACAAACTTATTCACTTGCTTAATTAATTAAAATTTAAACTGCCAACGTTTTGTTGTAGTAATTTTGATGACAGCAGAAGATTTAATGTGCTACTAAGAGTGCCCCACACTCTCAAAAAAATGTGTGTTAAAGGGCACCTATGAAAATCATCTTTTAAAAAAAGCAGTTTGGACAGAACTGTGTGTAGATATAGTGTGTCATATTAGGGTGATATAAAGACAATAAGTCTCTTTTTTTATTTCCTGACATTAAAATAGGATCTAAATCCCTCCCATTTTCAAGCCTTTTCTGGTTCCTTCATGTCTGTGACTGTGCTGTTTATCTGACGCAGCAGGAGATGGAGTACTAGCTCATTTGCATTAAAGCATGGGCAACAAAAACAGCAACAATGTGCTTAGAGCTAAAAATGTCAATATTCTGAAAGGTTTAATAAATAATCTGATGAGTGTTTTAAGCTAAAACTTTACAGACACATTCTGGAGACACAAAAGACTTGAATCTTGAAAAATGGGTAAAAAAAGATTCCATTTAAATATGTTTATATATTTAAGTTTTGTGCTTTAACTTTTTAACATCTTTTTATTGATTGTGTGTAAAAAAGAGGGAGGAAATGAAAAAAAAAACTGTCCAACACAATGTGTGTTAGCTATCATTTATTCATATTGCTTCTTACTTTACTCTCAAACATTAAGCAAGTTAGCATTACTTTTTCATCGATGGACAACATATTTGAAATATTTTTTGTTTTTTTATAATTTAAGCCAAATCTGGTCCAGTCATGTACCACGTTTGCTGCGCAAAAGCTGATTGTGTGGGCCAGGTAACACCTGAGCCGGTTCCACAGGTGAACTAAACCTGCAGCCAAACTAAACCTTTCCTAAATAAACAGTAACAACAACGACAGTATTCTGAAATATCATGTTAAATGCCAATTGGCAGTGTCAGCGTGCACAGCTGGCGCTAATTACAATTAATTTTGTATAAGCGCTGAATGTGCCAAGCTTGTGCATGTGGCATCCTTTTTCTTTTAAATCCATTCACAAAGCTTCTGAGAGAGTCATATGAGGATTTCTCTGACTGTTACGCAGAAGGAGATAGAAATTGTTTCACAATTAGGGGTCCAGCATTTTTTTCTGGTACACACGAGCAGTGCATGCCATCACTGCGGTGGCATGTCTTTTGCGCAGTTAAGATTGCGGCTCGCTCTTGCAAAAGGGCCACCGACCCAAGTTGTCCCCCACTTCATGGTTGGCGTTCAGGCAGATTTGACAGTTACAGTAAATCCGGAGCTCTGACTCCTCCATGCGCTCCATCAAAGCTTTGAGTAAGAAAAGTGTTCCATCCTCGGATGGTCGCCCTCTCACTTAATGACACTGAGGCTCAGATG